AGTTTTTCAAAATATATTTTAAAGAGTTTAAATGTTCTTATTTTCCATGGAGTCACATATATTTCATAAATGGATTATTTATGACTCCACTTACCTTTGACTACTCCAAAATTCTTAAACACTGATGTGCTTTTGATTCTGCCCCTCCAATGATGAAGACTTTAAAATCTAGATGTAAGATTTTAATACTAATTAGGGATGAGGTGGTTAATTGACCACATTTGAATTGACTGTTATTGACCTCTCTTCTTTTTATTCAGTGAATCAAGAAATTTTTTTTTATAGAGATCATACCTGTGGTTATTTATGAATACTCTAAAGCTCAAACAAAGAACCAGTTCAATTTTAAAGTTATATTCATCCAGCCTGCCAAACATCTGGACTCTGGCACCTGTTGGGCATGAAAATATTATAGCAAATGCTCAAACTTCCATGACCTCTCACCTGAGTGATGTATAGTGTGTGTGGAAGCATAGCCTGCTGTTCAAGGTCTTACAGCCTTAATTACATGGAAAGTAAAGGTTCAAGATCTAAGTTACTGCATTAGAACTTTAGTGCAACACAAGGTCTATCACGGTCTTAGCCAATAGTCTCCATCAGAGCATCAAATTATTCTCAGAGTCTGTGATCAAGAGGCAAGTACTTGGATTATGCCTAGACCAATGCTTAAAAAATATTGTTCTAGCTATGAAGAATTTCCTTGAGCAAGCTAGGTAACTGATTTTTCTGAAGGACAAGGCTGGCTTATATTTAGATAGTGACATCTTGGTGGTGCTCTGATTAGACCTAGGACGGTATGGTATGCCTGGACTTTAACTTTGGTTCAATTGGCCCAACTTAGCCTAGTGAGACTTTGGTCTGGGTTTCAATAACTTTATGATTGTCATTCCTCCATTGGGAAATTTTTATGCCTACACCTTAGTCTCTAGATAGCTAAGGTGTAGACTTTAAAAATATTCTGTGATGTGAAATGAAGCCACAATGGAATAATCTGGAAATTCTTCAAGATAGAGGGCTTCATGGCCAGAAATTGGCTGTAAAGCAACTGCAATATGCAAATTCCCAGAAATTACTATGTTGACCAATCAGCTTCCCATGCCTAGTCTGTAAATTGTGAGTCATGACTTACAAATGGAACACAAACTGTGAAGGAAAAAAACAAAATAAAAGTTGGCCTTATTGACCGTAGTTGACCAATTGACATGTTTTTAATTGACCCATCAATAACCCATCCCTAATACTAATAGATGTGGATTGTACACCTGAATGACATCAGTGCTTATAAATGCAATGGATGACAAAGTTGCCTTGGACATGTATACAGGCTATGCTGAAAAAAAGCCCCAAACTGTGAACCCATATGGCTCAGCTCTTACGAAATATATGCATAGGCAGATATGTTCTCAGGAAAATTTTTACATTTTACCCGAACTCTTTCTGCCATGGCATTGAAAGTAGATGGGAATTACACTCCAAGCCCTTCAGACACTTTTTCTCCAGTCTGTATGCACTTTTTTTTTTAATCATACTGGATGGTGCTAAAAGAAAATATTCCATGTGACACTTTAGCCTATTGAAGAAATGCTAGGTTTGTCTTTATCTTTATTATCTTTATGTCCCTGAGAAAATATGCAAACAAATTTTTTTTCAATTTTAAGTTCTCTTGTTTGTTTGGACAGAGCTACAGTTGTTGAAACTTCAGTAAGAAAGGTCAGCATGTCCATGTATCCAGCTGTAATAATTTTAGCAGTGCTTTACAGTTGTATCTCATTTGTCTGCAATAAGCTGTTTTTGATAGATGCATCCTTTTTTTCAGAGTCATTGATTGTATTGTGTCATATTTTCATATCTGACAAAGGATAATGTTACTGTGGTAAAGGTGGGTTTTTCCATGAAAGAACTTGAAAGAAAAAAGGATGAGTTCAAGCAGAACATGGTTCATGATTTGATTGAAAACTTTGACGATTTTCTCAAAGATTCTAAGTTTGCTACCCTATTGGTTTGGGCTCATCTTCCATATGCCATCTGAGACACCTCCAGTTCTTGAACCATGCTTTATGCTAATTGTGACTTAGATTCAAAATCCCTGGCTTTATGTTTGGGTATTCCAGTATTGCCACTACAAGTCACATCTATGCCCTTGTTTGCAGCTGACAATCGTACTTGGAAGAAAAGGTTGCGAAATGAACTCAAGCATGATTTCTCAGTCTTTGCACAGCATAGACATATCCATCGGGTTCAGATTTCACCTCAACTTGCTCTTGCTGTCTACCAATTCCTGTCAACATGTAAGTGACTGCAGTACAACTCACATTTGAGGGTTTAGGCTCCTAGAAAATGTCCACTATTATTCTGATTTGTTATCTCTTCCTGAAAGCTGTTGATGCGTTCAAGCCATCCATAATAGCAGATCGGGTCCTACGCCAACTGATCAACCTTGATGTGGTCCGTCAGATAAAGGTCCCAAAAGAAGGACCTCCAAATCCCAATGACAGCACCTACATGATTTACCAGAAAGTATGCATACCAGTACATCCTAATGCTTTAGTTGCCCTTACATGTAAGAGAAATTTATATTTTGCTTAATTTTTCAGGGAAAACCAGCTGACTATTTTGTGCTCATTCTTGAAGGCAGAGTTTCTGTTTTGGCCACACAAGAGAACCTGACCTTTGAATCTGGGCCTTTTTCTCACTTTGGCACCCAGGCCCTCACTTTCAGTGAGCTCTTCCATCATTTTTCATTTACAGTTTTGTGTAGGGCATTTGAAATTTTGCTAATGAGGGGACTGATGGTTTTTATATGATTTCATCATTATGTCAGATTCAGAATCAATGACATCTCTTGGAAGTGGACTGTCAGCAGACAGTCTGCCAACAATACCAAACACACCAGGAGCAAGATCAATGAGTGGAATTCCTGGAAGTTCAGGTCAAGGCTCAACCAGCAATGTCCAGTCTGCAGTCTGTCAAGAAGCCCCCGTGTCTTGTTCACCTCATGGATTCCCTTTGTCCCAATATAGTTCACAGGTATGCTTGGACATTCTCCCCTTTCCTTTTACCCAGTAATAGTTGAGTTGGAAACTGGTTGGATATTTCCTTTATCCTCTTCATCTACAGGTTACTTTTACCCCTGACTACACTGTGAGAGCTGTGACAGATGTCCTCTATCTCTGCATCAGGCATTTACTGTATCGTGCTGCTATCCAGGCCTCCATTCTGTATAGTCAGGAGAAAGAAGAGGAGGCTGTGCAGATAGAATCCACCTTTGAAAAGGTTTGCCATAAATAAGGTAATCATCAGTGGGAATGTGTCTTTTCAAATGATTCTCATTGTTTCTTTTTGCTTCAACAGATTCTGAAAGCTGGGAATTCCCAAAAATTTCTTCAATCATCACGTGCTGAGGCAGAATGCACAAAATCCCTTCTAGATTCCAGTTCTAGCACTGGCTCTTCATCCATCTCTGTATCCTCTTCATCAATGAAATGTAAATCTGATGAGAAACTTGTTGCCATTGAAGGAACATCCCTCAGCAAGAGTTTTGATGAAAAGTTGCACGTGAAAAAGGAAGGATCAGAGGGTAATTCTTGCCTTAATAAAGGTGACACTGAATCTCAAGTGCCGTTGGAAGATACCTGATCAAGTTATGATCCTCTTTTTTCTCCATTATGGAATTGGTTTGTGGTGATGACAGGATCCACTGAGTCCCTTGGCTGCTTCTTCATCCCTCCCTTCTCTCAATCTACATGATTGTACAACTGCTTACGTATCAATAAGTTGCCTAATGTTGCTGATATGTGGAAATGTCCTCTACAGAGACTTAAAGTGTGTTAATGCTAACAGACCTACAGAACTTGCTTCAAACCCTTGGAGCTTTCAATTGGTCATGTCTCAAATTTCAACATTCAGGGGAGATCTTATTTAACCCTTTGAATTGATAAAATAGTCTTGCTCTAGCATCTGTTATTGCAGGGGGTTGTAGTCAGCATGTTAATGATGCTGTTTTTGGAGGTCTTCCTCATTCAATTCACTTTGTATAATTAGAAAAGTACATAGGAGAGACCTGAAGAATGATGATGTTAAATCTCTCCTGTTCTAACTCTTAAAGATATTATTTTTTTGTCATGATTTTCATCATCTGATCAGATTTGTTTAAATATATATTTTAATCTGGTATGGCAGCATCTTGTATGCAGTTACCCACTTGAGAAGCTACTTTTAGTATAGCTAGTCATAAAAAATAGTTTAACAATTGTTATAACTAGTTAGTCATGAGTATAGTTTAGCTAATAGTTACACTAGTCCAGCAGTGAGCTATACCAAGTTTTTAGTAGTACTGACAATGGATGAAACTGCATTTTCAATCAATCAAGCATTTATCCCTGCTAATTGATGAAAAAGTGCTATCAAAAATGAATGTGAATGTAACATACTGATGTAGCAACTGTTTTTAACTGTTCCTACATCAGTATGTTTTGCAAAACTTTCAGAAAATTTTGACGAGACATGCAAGCTCTGAATTCTGTGATAGATGGAGCAAGTTCTTATCAGCATGTCCTTCCAAGCTGTTGCCTCGACTTCCCTCCCTGTTAAAAGTTTTCAAGAGGATTTCCAGCAGTTTTCACTGTTATAAATGGAGGTCTCTCAAGAACCAGCTGGTTAAAAGCTTGAGACATCCTCCATTGTGGGAGAGGGGTGGAGTTGTTGGGTGTAAATGCCTAGATGCATAAAGCCCAAAGCATCTTGCTCNCACTGACACTGCCCTATTTTCTTTTATTTGCAGGTGAATGAAGACTGGAAACTTTGATGAAAATAATTTAAATGAATCAGAAAGAAAGAACAAAAGTTTTTCCATGGATGGAGGTGCACGAGTACCCCATTAAAGTGGCAAAACTTTTCAGGACACATTGTCAGTCTCTTTGGAGATTCCTTCTTAGTATCAGAAAGCTCTGTAAGAATATCCATGAAACAAGAAGGGAGCTGGATCACCTGGGTGGCTTTCACCTGGAAATACTTCCCTTCTGCATTAGTACACCCCTGACTTTTTATCTGTGATGTCATTTGCAGCACAGTTGAAGCCCATTCAAACACATTGAAGAACACTTAGCAAAAAATGGCAATTCAGTACAGTCCCTGTTTCATAGAACTCCTCACAGAGATTTCTGATAGTCAATCTTGTTGGGGGTTCCTTTTTAAAATTTGTTCTGGAAAATCTTTGCACTTGAATTGACACTTATGTACAAGGTTAGTATAAAGTTTCTTCCCATGTTCAGACTGTTATAATATGCAAACTATGCATCATAAAGCTGCAATTTTTGGTGCAAACACTAATGAGACCATGAGGAATATAGGGTCATCAGATATGGCCACCAGCATTTGCTCAATGTGACCTCCCTTCATGTTTACAATTGCTTGCATCCTGGATATTCTGGTTATAGATGGCTGACCAAAGCTATCCAACATCTAACATGGCCACATGATCGTGAATAGCATGTTTGAGGTCCATTAAGGTGGCAAATGCTGCATGATTCACAACAGACTTAAGATATCCCCAAAGCCAAAGTCACATAGCACTATTTCCCTAATACACATTCCACTTTCTGACAACAGGAATCCAGAGACAGAGAAAGATTATGTGTTTTAACACGTTGACGACCAGCCTATTTTTGCTTGTCTGCTGCATGGAACCATGCGCATTTTTTTTGTCAAAA